ATCATGCTGCACCCTGGACCTGATTGGCTGTTATTCTTAAGTTCTCGTTTGTTGACTCGCTCTTGGGGAAGCCCCATCCAAGAGTTTCTATCCACATCATAGGCTTCCTGCGAAGACGGAACCCCTCTTGAAGGAGGATTGAACCAGAAGGGCGGTTTCAATGGACACTGGTAGGCATAGTTAGAACAAGGAGGCCTCACCGTAGAATCGACTGTCGTTTTATGTAGTCAGGATCCAGTGTAGTGAAACATTGGAGAACTACTGTTGATGATATAAATCCAGCATTAACTTAAGGACCCTACACTATGGGAATTATGGTATATTCCTTATTATGGGTAATAATGCAGGGTTTGTCCTAGTAATTACTAATACCATCAACCGCAGTGACTTGCGTGAGTATCACCCAATCCTCAGGAGCCACTTCAGGCTTCAAGCGCGCGAAGAACACGACATGCCAAGTGGGTAGTTCTCTAAATGAGGGTCCCTCTTATTGGGGTCCTTTTTTTATAAGGGTGCCGTACTTTTGTGGGGACCTACAAAAAGGGACCCTACAATAGAAAGCTGCCCAATTATTAAACAACAGACTAACCCGAACCTGAGAGCCTATGAGCGCTGCCTTGCACTATCGGTCCTGTCTGACGGTGCCCACAGCCCAGTGACCAGTTTCCGGGCTTCCAGGAGAAAGCTCCCACAATCCAAACCCTGCATGGGCCTTGAACACCAACATGCCGAGACATAGCAATGAACGAAAGGCCTATCAGAACTCCTGAACTCAAGAACGCTCGTGTCCAAAGGTTAGCAACTTCGGATGTTCTAGGAGAGGCCCACAGATTCAAAGGCACAAGGGTTCATGTGAGTATGCGTCGTCATGGACTGCACTCCGCCTCCCCCAAAGAAGGCTGGAAGCGAAACAGTATTGTTGGTCTCATTGAGAACAAGAAGTCCATAGATGAAGCAGGAACGTGTATGGCTGTGCTCCTGGAATTCAGCTTGGACTTGGAGTCAAGCTGCTTGGCCTGGTATCGGGGCTTCGCGTTGAGGGCTTAAAGACAAAGGGAGCGATTATTAGGTTAAGAGGTTTGCATTTCAGTCTTCTAAACCCTAAACCCTAATTAATATGTCTGGCTATGAGAAGCTAAGAAGCTGAAACGGTCGGGGTTGGGGCTTTGCGCCTGGGAACGATGGGCTTCTGAAGGCTACGGGGGACGGGGGGGACGGGGGGGGAGGGGTGTGTGCAGCGCTGCAGAGTTGCCCTCCTTTTTGAACAGCTTCTTCGGCAAGGGTCCAACGCAGAGCAACGATTTAGATATGCCAAATCAGCAGAAATCAAGAGATTCGAGACTCCGAAACGGCTTATTTCAGCGATGTACCTCGAATTGCAGAAGGATGCCGATTCTAAGTATACTGCTTAATGAAACCTAAACCCTAAACCCTTAAACCCTAAACCCTGGGGCCCTGAATTAGAACCGTCAGGGACCCAAGGACCCGAGGATTGCGCACTTCGGTTTAGAACAATAGCAATGTAGGTTTGGGTTCAGGGTTTTGGGATTTAGGCTATGACAATAGTAATGCAGGTTAGGGCTCAGGTTTTAGGGATTTAGGGTGTAAGGATTTAGGAGAGTCTATGAATTATTGAGTGCTTGGACCTTCCAGGAAGGCCGGAATCCTGCAGGTACGTGTGCGGCACCCGGAAGGATTCCGCAACGCCCTTTGGCGACAGCCTGGTTCTCTCGAGCTCTATGCTTCTTGGCCGGTGGTTTGGGAAGTTACTTACGTATCTTAATTATAATACTGGTTTGCCTTGACATTCCCGCATGACTCCACAGAGCACTGCACTCCCAGCCCCCGTCGCACACCTCTAGCTGCCTAGGTTTGGGGCCCAGGCTGCGTCGGTTTCAGAACCCCGCTTTCTGGAGCAATGAGCTTGAAAGAGCGCTTGGCAGTTTCGGATTTAGGATTCGCAGCCGCTTGTTGTTTCCGTAAGGGCTTTGCGCTTTCGGGGATGCCCTAAACCCCGAAACCCTAAACCCGAAGCCCTAAACCCTAAGTTTCCAAACTCCTCCTTGGAGCCTCGGGTTTCTGCCAGCTTGACACCCCCATCAGCAACCCTGACTTCGTAGTAGAGTGCGTAAACCCAGAGGGTGCAAGTACCAAGGTTTTAGGCCCCCAAATCCATACTCTGAAAGGTTTGGGGACCTTGAAACCCTACTGCCTGGACCCTTAGGTAACCTTTCATAAACCCTCGTGAGGTGCGATAGAAGCCCTACAAACTGCCAAAGACCAACCTTTAGTTCCGTTCCCTTAGAGTGCTGGATAACTACTTCTACCTATAGTCTCCATTGTAGTTCCCCTTTTGGGGGTTATCTTATAGGATGCAAACTGTAAAATTGGTGGGGGCTAGAAAAAGGAACTACAATGGAGACTATAGGTAGTCTCCATTGCAATGGAGTTCCGTCTTGGAGGCTACCTTCTAATTATGGTATCTTAAAAATGTTAAACCAAACACCCGAACTACGGTGGAGACTATAGGCTTATAAGCCCTACCTGAACCTCAGAAAGGCTGCCTTAAGAAGGACTTAGACGAAGAAATCCCCATCAGGAGCCGTGAGAGTGTGCGTTTTTGTAGGGTTCAGCAAATCCCTTCAGCCCCAAACCACGGAACCCTAAACCCCTAAACCCGACACGCCTAAGCCCGAAACTGTCAACTTAACAAGCTTCAGTCAGGTTGCTGTAGCTGTAGCTGAGTAGCTGACGCATGAACGATTGAAGAAATGATGGGCAAAGGTCTTTATTGCGCCAAGTATTCAGGTCACTATCAAGCAAAAAGTCCTGCACACCCCACCCTGCACCCGAAACCCTAAATCGCGCAACAATCGACCCGACACAACCCTGATGACTGAACCCTTCACCCTTAAAGGAGGCCTGAACCGAAACCTTCAACCCCAGACATCGTCTTGGTCTGTTGGGTCCAGGTTGGCGGTAGCTCTGATCTGCGCCCCCTTTGCTGTCCGAAATCTGGACGACAATGTGATCCTGCAGTATTTGGCAGCCTGTTTGAATCGACAGTTTGGTTTAGGGTTTGCGGTTTAGGGTTCATGCAGGGGTCATTTGGCAGCCTACTGCTGATGGACACCATCCATGATCCATAGTAAGGAATATGCCACATTCCTGTTTGTTTTAATCCTACCTCCTAAACCCTAGAGCGTTCAGAGTTATACTGCAGTCTTTCTAAACATGAGGCCGTGCGATTTTGGTCAGTTTACATGATCGATGGCTCGGTTTCTGGTTGAGGTTTGCAGCGGGCCTCGACTCCCCGAATAGCTCCCCTTCACTACAAACCCTCAATACCACATTTAAGAACCATGAGGGTTCCCTCAAACGTACTTTTTTTTTTTTTTTTTTTTTGGGGGGGGGGGTCTCAGCACAAAGCACCCAATCCGCCCAAGACCCCAAAGCAACAGACCAAAGGGCTTGGGCTCTATTCGGTGCGAAGCCCAAACCCTAGCCGGCCTAAAAGTTAATCTTTCTTTTATACGAAAGTGCAAGAAGGGCAAACACAACTCGATCCCGAGACCTGAACCCTGAAATCCCTAAAAGCATCGTCAGCACCCAAGATCGAAACCTTCATGTCTTAACCCTTCTCCAAACCTCCCAAAGGGTCCAAAGTACCTNNTTACTATGATGATTTGGGGAAGTATGCCCCATAACAGTACCCAGGACCCTTTGGGCTTAGAATCAAGCCTCGTAATACATGAACGTGAGGCCGTCATTGGCTTGAGCGTGATGTCTGTGATCTGGATATCGCTTCTGGTAGCCGAGCCGACGTACTCGGGACTGCGCTGAAATGATGATTGCTCCAAGAGGTTTTTATAAGGGTTGTTATCGGGTTGCCTAGACGCTAGGATGCAGCAGTTGTGGTTAGGGTGCTACAATGAGAAACTAAGGTAGCCAAAAGACAGAAATGTCATAGGGTAGGACTGGAGGATTCAGGTTTCAGGCCTCCGCGGTTCAACGGTTCGGTCCTGCGGGGTTTGCCGGGGTGAGGATTTTCGATGATTTTTGGACTTCAAGGTTTTGGTTTTAGGACCTGGAGGTTAATATAGGGGCTAAAAGAAACCAATACTGGTTTGGGGGGGTTCCTTATCAGGATTATTCTAGGATATTTTCAGGTGGGTAGTTACCGTTATAGGAGCCTTATAGAAGGTCTATATACCTTGTAGAAGCCTTATAGAAGCCCTATATACCCTAAACTCCCCACCTGTAGTTTCCTTTGAATTATAGTAGAATATACCCCAAAACCCTGTTCTAATTATTAAGGCCCCTACATCGACATTGCCCTAGGAGATCATTTGCCTATGTAGTGGGTTGCTGTCCCTTAGAAGCCCTATGTAAACCATATAGTACCCATAACCCGGTAAGTTACTGTTTAAGTGGCTGGGCTCCTAGGGTTAGACTTTGAAGGCAAGAGCCGATAGACCTGGCGAAAGCTTCAGTCCCTACATTAGGGTTGAGGGTTTAGGGGTTTAGGGTTTAGGGGTTTAGGGTTTATATTTAACCCTCCAAAGCCTACCTTAAACAACACTACTTATAGAACGCCGAGAGCAACCGCATAGCTCTACAGAGCCCGTATTGAAGCCGACGACAGCCGGACAGCAAAAGGCTACAAGTGCAACTTGCATTTGCAGGGTATGAATGCAGGTCAGTATTGGAAGGGAGTATATGATTACTAGGTACTTGGAACCTATAGTTACAGGATTTCGAACCCTGATCAGTGCTACAATTAAAAAGCCCCAGAGCATAAAGTGACAGTTTGCAGGGCAAACAACCCTTAACCCTAAACCTTTAGAAAACCCTACACCCGAAACCCCAACCCTTTTGAATCCAGGCCTAAACCCCCTGCACCCCCTAAGCCTAAGCTGTCAACCATAATAGAGCCGAATCTCTGAAGGCTGTTGGATTCCTAGACGCTGAGCCCTCACCTCAAGACCTCGCCACCTTAGGTTTCCGTCGCCGCTGCCGGTTGCAACCACTGCCCAATCCTCCCTCGTTGGCCACTCGGCGATGTGGGGTTCGTTTAGCGGGACAGCAAGGGGGAAAAAGAAGGCTTCTAAGAAAGGCGTTGGGGCTACGGTGTACAGTCTCGGTTCAGGAGTTCGATTTTAGGGTTTGGTTCGGGTTTGTTGGGCAGGTGCTTTGGGTTCAGGGTGTAATGATTGAGAGCCTAGGGCTAGAGCCAGAGACCGTAACCCCGACGCTCGGAAGTAGGTAGGTGTAAGATCTTAGCCCTTTAGCCGCAATTACAACCCTGACCTACACCCTGGAACCCCTACCATTTTAACTTTTAACACCTTACACCCCAATATCCTCAGCTGTCCTTGCCTCCTTCCCGCAAGCATCGAACAAGTCAATCATACAGGTCATACATGTTGCTACATCAAGCTGAAGCTTAGGATATTTTCCCGGCTCCGGAGTAGCGAAGGTTCGCGTTCTTTTGAGCCGTAAGCTTCTCCGCAAGGCTACTGACTCCTAATTAGGATGTAGGGGATTGGCGGCAGAGAGCCTCAACATCGAAAGACCAGGGGGTCCCGTGGAGTCAGGGATACCTGATGTAGCATCCCTTGACGTTAGACCTTGAACCCTAACTACGGTTAAACCCTGCATTACCCAGAATAGGGAATAGACCATAGTTCCCACAGTTTAGGGCCCGTAAGGAGTCTTAAGGTAATGCGGGATTTATACCATCAACAGTATGTCTGCGTCTAGATGTTGGTTACCTTGTCTTCAAAAACTCCCACTTGCCATGCGATCGCTGGCCTGCAGGCCTCAGGTATTGAGGCCAAGGGTTTCGGGTTTAGTAGGGTTTAGGGTTTAGGGTTGAGGGAATTTGGGGTTTAGGACTTGCAGCCGCAAAAAGACCCAACCGGGTCCTAAGCCCCAACCACCTACATAGTAGAAAGTAGGGTTGCTATCGTCTGTAGTATAGGAATTATCCCCCAGATGGGCCCTTACGACCCTTTGGGCCATCCCCCCTCCAACGACGGACACACCCTCGCAGCCCGAGTCAAGCATATGAAAACGATGCAATGCTTTCTGGGGTCGAGGGTTTAGGGTTTAGGGCGGCATGCGAAACTTAGGGGCTGAGTCGGTAACCTGTAGCTTTTTGGGGGCTCAGAAAATCCGAAACCTCAAACTCATGACTCTATGTTGGCGCCGATGTTCCCCGGCAGAGGCACCGTCCTCTTCAACTTCGTCGGACGCCCAACAGGGCTGATGTGGGTGGTTGCCCACATCAGGGTCTCTTTGGGGTTCCCAGATTAGTGGGTGTCGCATTAACCCCAAGGGTCCAAAGGACCCAATAAAAAGGTACTTTGGTTGCGGATAGTAGTTGTCTAGGTTAACATTTGGGAGAGTAGAGGATGATTAGGTACTTGGACCCTTCGGGTAAGAGTAGAAGTATACAGGGTTCCCAAAGGGACCATGATTCTGACAACGACCCACGGTGTTGTGTGAAACTTGTGAGATGCAGTGCTTGTGGCTTTTAGGGGGGGGGGGGGCTTTGGGGTTTTCATATCATTCCTATGTAGCTGAAGCTTCGGGTTTGTAGGGCTTCTGTGGGTTCAGTGTGGGATGCAAGGAGTTCCGTATTGGGGGGCTTGCTTTTAATTGAGCCTTGCGGTGAGGGTGTAGTACTTCCAGGCGGCGCAGGGGCAGTTGTGAAGGTGCTGAGATGACCGACATTTTCAGTTTCAGGGCCCAGCCACTATTTTCGAGGCTGGAGATTAAAATCCCGCAGCAGAACACCCCAGCCCTAAACCCCAAACCCTACCTACAGTCTCCGTTGTAGTTCCTTTTTGGGGTTGCCTTATAGGGTCCTGAATGTATAATTCGCATAGGCACACGGAAAAGTTGTAAATCGTACAGCCTAAACCCCAGGCAGCCCCTGCCTAAACCCTAATCCCTAAACCCTCAACCCTAGCCCCTGCCGAACTGGAAGGCCTTCACCAGCACCTTGCCGTCCTGGGTGAACGAGAAGAAAGCGGAGGTGTCTGTAGGAGCCGGGAGTTCAACTCTCCCAGCGGGAAACGGCTTCGGATTTAGTGTTTAGTTTAAGTGTTTTCGGTGTTGGGTTTAGAGTTTAGGGAGTTTAGGGTTTAGGGGAGAAGGCTACCCAAGGTTTCTCTTGGGTTTAGGAGCGAAATCTCCCTAAGGTTTCTCAGTATATGCCTTTTTGAGGCTGAAGGGGTTGAGGGTTTCGGGTGTTTTGCGGCCCCGTTAAAACTTTGCAGCCCGAAGAGTGGTTAGAAACTTAAAGGGGGGTTTAGGGTTTAGGGTTTAGGGGGGGCCCTTCTTAACCCTACTTCTGGCTCTCAAAAACATGGACCTTATTGAGCTGGTCTCTATCCCCAAGGGTCCCCCTAATCCTAATTCCCAGCTAGGACGAAGCTGGTGTAGACAGATGTGAGCAGGCAGCTGACTCTCGATTGAAAGGTATGAAACCTGTAGTACTAGAGATGCTCTCAATATGTTTCATTCGCCTGGGCCGCCTGAGATCAAATTCAGACATGTGTGCGACGATTCAAGCCATGCTCATGGCACCTAAACCCCAAACCCTAAAGATATGTCTTCAGGTCTTGAAAAAAGATGGAGACATGAGCGCAGGAGCAACTTTCTGGACCGTCATGGGCTACGTGGCGATGGCCTAAGTGTTGTCCATGCGGCACACCAGCGAGCCTTGATGCTCAGATGGCTGGGAAGTTAGAGTCAAGGAAATCGGGTTGCAGATCAAGATCGCAGGGTGAATCCTAGTCCGCACGGCACAACATAAGGAGATCCATGACATGCCACACCGCCCCCTGACCATCCCGGCGGCAAGGCCTTAAAATGTCAATTGGTTCCTAAGCCGACTTTAAACGCCCCCAAACCCCCCATGAGCCTAGACCCTGTTCAAGCCCTGAACTTCAACCGTAGCTGGTCAGTACATCCAGGTTGTTACCTACACTGTGATCGGCGTTGTTGGCGGAGCCATGGCTGCTGATAAGATGTGCTTGTCAAGCCCTAAACCCTAAGCGCCCAAACCCCCTAAATCGCAAACCCCTATGTCCGGTCCAGCCGAGGTCCTCATCTGTCCTCGCTACCTATAGTCACTATAGTCTCCATTGTAGTCCCCCGTTTTGGGTTTAACCACTTATATGTTCAGGATCCTACAGGGCAACCGTTCAACCCAAAAAAGGAACTACAATGGAGAGTCTAGGTATGTATCTATTTGCCCCTCCCTGCCTCTCTCCGTCTTCGTCCTTGTCTCTAGCTGCAGAGTTCAGAGATTTCGAACGGGGGTTCACGTCTTCAGCTTAGGCTAACATTAGGATCTGTTGGCCTCCGGGGAGACGGTAGGATCCCTTGCAGCATATGGGAGCTGGTTGAGGAGTACTTTTCTTCTACAATACGGACCCACATAAACGAGCTAGCGACACTTTTTGGGACAGCGTTGCATTCAATCCAAGTTGAGCCATCAGAAGGCTTCGATAATGCGGGCTTCCCCTGGATGGTGAAAGTCAACGAAAAAACGCAGCCATAGAAATCCTCAGCCCTAGAACCACAAAGCCCTAAACCCTTGTAAACCCTAAACCCTGAAGCCCCACTCCCTGAACCGTCACCGTCCTTCCAAGGGCCGGCATTCTGATTGTTTCCAGGAGTTTCGGGTTTAGGGCCGGCATTCTGAGTTTAGAGTTTAGGGTTTAGGGCTTGTGAATCTGGCATGGTTCAACTCTTCCGAGCTCCCGGGCAGTGGAAGCCAGAGCCTGAGGCTGAAAATAGCTCTAAATTGATACGAGCCACTTGGCGGGGGATATGGCATCTAGAGTCTCCATTGTAAGTCCTGTTTGGTGATAGGATCCCAACTACAAAAATGTAGACTGTAGGTAGTTCTTATAGAACCCTTATTATAATAAAACCCTGTAGGATCACTGTAATATAGTGATCCCAGAAAGTTGGAACATGGATTTAGGATGATTAGTGCTGGTATCCGCTGTGCTGTAGCTGAAGGCCATGAGGATTCAGATGTTCCAACTTCACGGCCTCTGTTATAGATGACCCTAAAGAGCAAGCTAAGGCATGGCCTACCCGCCTTAAGCCCTAAACCCTAAGCCCTAAAAAGCAAGATAAGGCATGACCTACCCCGCCTTAAACCCATAACCCTAATCCCTAAAAAGCAAGCTAAGGCATGGCCTATCCGCCTTACACCCAAAACCCTAAGCCCTAAAAAGCAAGATAAGGCATGGCCTATCCGCCTTTCTACACCACGGATGAGAACTTGTTCAGCAAGCTGAATGCAGGCTGAGCAGGGGAAGAGATGGTAGCCCAAGGGCGACACCCTGCAGTTTGGGGTGTAGGGGTTTGGGGCTTAGGGTTTTAGGGTTTAGGGTTTAGGGTTTTGGGTTTTAGGGATTAGTTTAGGGTGTAGGGTTTTAGGGCTTGGGGTTTGGGGCTTAGGGTTCAGGGGGTGTTGGAGTCTCTGGGCACGCTTGCACCCGTGAGCCCTCAAGCTCTACCCAAACTCCCAGACAGTAGTCAAAATAGGTGCCCAAGGGCTAGTGGTTTGCATTTTTTTGGGGTCCAGGTAACCTGAAAAAGCCCGAAAACTTTAAACCCTAAACGCCTTAAGAACAAAATTAAATATATAAATAAATAACTAATTTTTTTGAAAAAAAGTGTATATATATATGTACACTGTCGCTGCACTAGCGAGGTTTCAGAAGCTGCTGTGGTCGCCCCCTCCCTGGTCGGAATCGGACTTCCGGGAGTCTGGTAAGTTGCAGTATGCCAAATGTGTGGGTTTAGGGTTTAGTAGTGGCACGTTTGGTCTTCAATCTGCATTGATTGCGCAGAGGCTTCTGGAATTGTTTCGCAGTCGGACCGGTGGCAGAACGAGCCTGGAATCTACTCGAGCTTTCCAGGCCTTCCTTCCCATCTAACTCACAAGCTCTCAACTCCTGCATGGTCTCCTGCGCCAACTTTAAGCCTGTAAATCTGATACCTGCAACCAAACCTCTACAACCTGCATCTCTGTGTGGCCAGGTGGCTCCCGGCTGGGACAAGCGACGGTGGCAGCTTACCCGATGCTGCAGAATGTCACGTCTATTCCGGACCCTTGGATTGACAGCTCGTTAGCATAGGTGCCCAGAGGAATCGTGACGATATAGGCCTTCCCTGCTCTGCGGTTTCGAACACTTATACAAGCAGCTGAATGTTGTAGATGCTGGCTGCTACTAACTAAGCTGGAAGATTTGAAACTTTGAAATCCCAAGCAAGGACCGTCGGGCCGATTTAGATCCTAAGCCTAAGCCGTACACCACAGTTATGAGTTTAGGGCATGGGGCTGCAGCAAGCTGGTGTTAAGCAAGCTTTTGCGACGCGTCCATTTCTTAGTTTTTCGGAAGCACAACCGTAAGGGTCCAAGTACCCAAATAATTAGTAGGGTTTCAAGGTCCAAAAACCGCTCAGAGTATGGACTTTCGTGCCTCAAACCTATTATTTGGGTACTCGGACCCTCTGGGCAGGTGCATAGAGCCTGCACGAATTCAAAACAGTGCAGCGCCTTTATGCTGCAGCCCTCAACCCTTAAAAACTCTGAACTCATAACTGAGCCCCATGACCCTTGCCTTACCCGTAGTTTCCATTGTAGTTCCTTTTTGGGTTTAGGGTTTGGGGTTTCAGGGTTTAGCGTTTAGAGAACCGTTTCAACATTTCAGGAACCGATAAGGTAATCCCGAACAGAAAAAACCGTGGAGACTAAGTACTGGCAGGCCCTACACTCACATCGAGACCCTCATCCTCCACCAACACTGCCAGCCAAACGGCTGCTGTCACCCATCCCCTGTCCAGGAGATACAAACAGACCCGAGCCCGTAATGCAAACCTGTACCTGGACCCCAAATAACCGACTTATGTAAGGAAGTCATATTAGGTTTAAGGACTTATCAGGAAAACATAATGGTGAGCTCCAAACAGGAAGGTCTTTATCGGGTCCAGGTACACTGCATCAACCCCAACCCTATACCCTACCAAAAACCCCCAAATCCTTGAAAGGCTAGCTTCCCGCGAAGCGCAACCCTGAGCCCCCCAACTACCGCCCCCAAGTCCGGAACCCGGCCAAGGTTCTGGCCATCCTGATAAGAA